GAATACATTTAGATCAGCTTTATTTCAGAATCTTGTCAAATTTGGACTATCCTAAATATAGATTCTCTAAAGCGTTGTTTGTGATCTACGATACATTCACCGCCTTTTAAGATTCTGAAATTTTAAGTACTGTTTAGGAAACTTGCTTAGTGGGCTTCACTTCTTCCATTTACAGTAGAGAAAATAATGGGTGCAAGAAGGAAATGCACACATTTCACTGTAAAAAAAAAAAACAGTCAAAAAAAAGCTTCTCCAGATGGAACATATTCTCCCAGACTACAGCAACAATATTTTCACAATAGTCTGTGTTGATGTCAGTCAGCTTTTCTTGAAATGAGGCTCAGAAATGTGGCCGTACAATTTTTGATTGAACTGATGGATTTTTATTGAGTTTCTAATGCCCAAAACTGATAACCATTTGCTGGTTTTCCTGGTTCCAGACACCTCCTCACCACATGAACCTCTGTGTGGTCAGGGCCAAAGGCCAGGAGAAGCTCTTGGCGATGAACAAGTAAATGGTGGCGACGTTCACAATCGTGTACAGCAGGAACTCGCCGAATAGCCGTGAAAGGGGCGAGAGAGGCATGTGGAGACGGTACATCAGGTACGGGATGATGAAGTACCTGAACTCCAGGAGCTCCTGGGGAATTGTGGCTAAGACAAGACACGTCAGGTAGGCAAGGCTCATGAAGAAAGAGCGGGACTTTAAGGTCTCCAGGAAGTTCCACCCGGTGAAAATGTAAGCCGGGACGAGCAGGAAGCGGACCAGCTTGTGCCTCTGGTAGATGTTTTTCCAGATGTAGAAGGGGAAATGGCGGTTATCAGCCAGGAGGTACTTGTGGACGTAAGTGAACTTCCAAACCAGAAACAAGGAGACAATGGTGAGGACAGAGAAGAACACAGGATGCTTCTTCAGTGCGTTGCTGAAGCGTAGGGTTCGGTGGAGGCACAGTGACACCGGGAGGGAGAAGAAGTAGGTGAAGCAGAAAAAGTAGAAGACCTGAGGGAAGTGGAAGCAGGCTTGGTGGCTCGTCCTGTCGCCCACCACTATCCCCTCGTTCAACAACATGAACAGCAGGAAACCCGCTGCCACCACGGCGTAAGGCCAGGTCACTTGCATCACCACCTTCATGGTTTCAGGCGAGGTGAAGAAGTCCAACGAGAACGTAATCACTTTCTTCACTCCTTGAGACGACAGTGGCACCCGGACGGCGGGGAGTCTCTCGTCCTTCTTCTTCGTGTACTCCATCCTCCAGACGTCATCCATCTTGGCAGCCACCACTGTGCCGGCGCAAAACGCCACCCAGACGATGTTGGTCTGCCGGAAGAGCACGGCGCAGACGCCGAGCAGCGCCGAGGCCTTGTGGCAGCCGTACAGCGTCATGAGGTACGCAAAGAGGATGAAGAAGGTGGATCCGGCGTCCGTGTAGTAGAGGAAGGTGAAGAAGTAAAGCACGGGGAAGGTGGACAGAGACACTGTGCAGAGGATTCGCCGAAACATCAACCGCGTCTGAAGAAGAGGTAACATGGCATTAGAGAAAAAATGGCAACCTTTCCTTCCTCCCTCCCTCCCTCGTTGTGGTGAGGCAGCCTTACCTTGTCCCTGTGGTGCAGCTTGCTTATGAGCAGGTACAGCAGGTAGAAGTTCCCGCAGTTAAACAGCACGTTGGTGAAGCGCAGCATGGCCGTGGAACACGCCACGCTACCCGTCAATTTGGCGAGCCACGCCATCGGCTTAATGATGCCCACTGAGACGAGGTAGAGGCCAGGGAGGGTGGTGATCATGGGGTCCCACTGACGACACCGGAGACAAACATCATCAGCATCATAGATCTCGCAATTCAAGGAGCTTTCCTTTAAATCATCATCTGGTTCTGGCTGTCCTAAACTTATGTCGCCTCCTTGAGGGAGCCCCATGCAGTTAACGGCAAAATTTTTTAACCAACTGCTTTGAAGCAGTTGGCTATGACTAATGAGTTTTAGGGCCGGACTAAGACAAAAAAAATAAATAAATATGAGAAAAAGTTTTATTATGAGAAAAAAGTCTTACAAGAATTAAGTCATAATATTACTCAAATAAAGTTGTACAAGAGTAAGTTAAAAATAACATTGCAAAGTAGAAACAATACTAGAATAAACTCATTTTACCAGAATAAAGTAATAATAATACGGAAATAGCCGTATGACAGTCATTTTAAGTCGTAATAATACAAGAATAAGCTCATATTACCAGAATAGTCAAAATGATATTATGAGAATAAAGTTGCAATAACAAGAAAAACGACAATAAGGTCGAAATAATACAAGAACAAACTGATAACATTACCAGAATAATGTCACAAAATTAGAAGCCTGAAGCCATTTTATGACGGCTCCTAAACAAAGAATGAATTGATCTTGTGAAGTTTTATTTTGGTATTGGTTTTAAATGCTGGTGTGTTAATCTTTTAATAAATCAGCATCAACTTATTATCAGTAGTAGTACTTTGAAACAATTGTCCAACGACTGAGTCTACTTCAAGTAAAAAATAAATAAATCACAGCGTATACGAGCTGGTCACATCAGAAATGGATAACTCTATTGACGCTTTTTACCCAAAACAACTTTTTTCTACTAAATTTCTGACTTTTCTTCTGGTAAAATAGTGTCTTTATTCTGTTAATATTATGACTTTACATTTGTAATAAAACTTTTTTAGAATTACTTCATATAGAAAAAAAAAATTCTTAGTCTGGCCCTACTGCTCCATCGTAGTTGCCGGTCCTATCTGTTCTTCCATATTAGAATCCATTTTATTAGTAATATTTGCTGCTTTCATCAATTTTAAGTAATAATAACAAAAAGAAATTTCGGAACATCCTAGTCAAAGGTTAGACTTAAATCCAATCTGGATGCTGTAGCTTGACCTTTAACAGGCTGGCAATGCCTAAAAACACTACAGTGTGGTTGAATAAAAACAATTCTGCAAATAAGAAANGTCAAACACTGACTGCCAGCTATTGGAAATGCTTCAAGACAGATTTTGTGAGGGGCAATGACTTGATGATGATGATGATGATGATTATATGGACAGCTGTATTTCCCTTAAGCTGTAGTTTGGATTTCTTGGCATAAATATGTAGATGTGACTAAATAGATTTAAAAAAAAAAAAAAAAAAACCTTGTGTGTGGGGTGTTGTGCAGCACAGATATAAACGGTGTTAAAAACTATACAGCTCAGCAAACAACACAACACACCGTCTAGTTTAGAAGCCCTTAACTGTCACGATGACACGGTGTTCCCATTGACTTCCACTGGGGGTGACGGTTTTAAACCGTTAAAGCGTATTTCACGCTGCTTTGTCCCGCCCCCTTGTGGTCATCTTCAGAAACAAAGTCTTGCATCCTGCTTTGGCCTGGGAAATCCTCCTTTAAAGTATCCAGAGGGGGGCGTGGCAGCTAGATGTTTATTAAAACAGGATATTTTCTTTTTCGCACACATGGCGCTTTTGGGAATCTGAATTTACTCGTGACCTCATGATATGAGGTTCAAAAAGATTTAGCACATGTGAGCTCAGCTCACAACCTCTGCTAATGCCTTTATATATGTCTGCAATTGAGATTAAAGCCTCCACAAGCTGTCATGTCATTCTGGTCAAATAATAAAAAGCCCTGCTGTTGGTTCTAGCCTTAATCCGTTACACAGTGATGGACCCATCCACAAACGGACGGTTACCTCATTGAATTTCCCCTTGCAGTATCTCTGAGCCTGAGGGACGTGGAAGATCTCGTCCATGTAGGGATCCCGCTGTACCCTCGTCATTTTGGAGAACAGAAGGCAGGACACCAAGAAGTTGACGCTGCACAGAGCTGAGAATATGTAGCTCTCGACTTTCTCCATGTCTTGCATTCACTGTTTTACAACGACACACGACGAAACAGTCAATTTGATCAAACACTAACTATTAGGCTCGTGTATACAACGCATAGCGACCACACTCTTGGATTAAAGCAGATACGTTCCCCAAATTCAGAGAGAAAATGGCTGAAATTGACACAAAAATAAAAAACCGAGGAGTTTGGATTTCCAACAGCTGGATATCCGCCTTAGAATCGACCTCGGGTGGAAACACTTCTACAACCAGTGGTTCCTACTACCTTGCTCTTAGCTCAACGTCGACGCCACATTGTGAGTGGATACAGCGCTATTCTACGTAAAATTAGAATGGTATAACTTCGGTATAAACCAACGTAAAAAGTAATTATTCAAAGACTGACTACAGTAAAAGTAAAATAACATTTGGTATAAAGGCTAAACCATCTGACTAACTTGTAAAAAATACTAATGCTACCGCATATATACAAAAAATACATCTGTGTGAAAATTATGGAAAAATAAAATGTATAACAAAAACAAAATCTCAAGTTCAGACAAAGCAAAACGTTTCAAATCCATTTTTTTTATTTCATAATAAAGCTTTGTAAACCACTACAGTATCTCTATTTGAACAATGTAAAGTAATAGTGATATTTATAGTCAGTAAGTCAGTTTTGGTTTTAAAAAAATTCTTCATTCAGTGCAAGAAATTGTTCTCAATTTATTGAATACAGAATATTCTTATTCAACTAGAAGAACATATTTTTCAGTAAAACTATTCCTGTATATATGTTTTTCTTTCCTTTTTTTAAAGGTAACATAATTCTACAATATATGCAATATTTTGTTTCTTTTATTCATTTATTGTCTTTACCACATACATCTGCAAAAACTCTTACATTATAACACCAATAAATACATACAAAATATTTAGAAAGGCATAGATGTCAAATTCAAAATTAGGTAACATGCAGTTTAAATATGTAACAAAATGGAATCCAGTGGATATGGTTGGGATGCATTTTAAGCACACTGAATTTCTGTTGTTTCGAGGTATTCATTTGAAAACTGTGCTCATTTTTATCAAAATGATTAAAAATAATCTCTATTAAAATAATCACTTTCCCTTTTTTTTTTTATAAAGACACTCGTGTTTCTTTATTCATGTCGCCACTCACAATATGGCGGACGAGCTCACGAATCGTTACTACATAGCATTAAGCAAGTGCGACGTCTACTACACGTTTGTGGCACCAAACACTTAAATTACACAGTTATATAAAAATATCAATACGCATTTTATGTTGTGTAATTTATTGTTGACTTTACTAAATATGTTTATGTAATATATTCCATAGGTGTGTTCTGCTCACGATATTTTGTTCCGACCTGTGTTACTGTATTATGGTTCCCCCTTCATGTGTCTAACGTGAAGAAGCGAAGTGCCTTTTCGGTAAGCGGATAAAAATTGTTTAATTCGTGCATATATATGAATTTTCAGCATGAAACTTACGCAAACGCTGGAGCTTTACCCCGACACCAGGGTGACGCAGATGCTTTTTAAAAGCGTGAAAAATGCAGCAGAACTGAGACAGAAAGCGGTGGAGGGAAAAATAAATGGTGCCCTCATCAACCCGACAATGGTGAGCCACTTTTATATTATTGTTTTTAATGCTGTCAATATATTCAGCTTATGCTATTTGAAAAATGATTACTGTCTCGTCTTTGTTCATACGTGTGGGGCTAGAAGTGTCTGGGATGTAAAATCCAACTTTGTGTGCTTTTACAGCTGGTGGATTCTTTCCAAGTGCTGGTGGCTGCCAATAAAGCTTTTCATTTACACTCCACTGGAAACATGAAGACCAGAAGTCTCAACTCGGAAATAATTTTCAGCTTGTCACCGACAAACAAAGTGCGTACGTTTTAACAAAAATGTCAAACCATGTCACTTGAACTTGTTCAAATTTTGTCACGTATCAACCCCATATATCAATACAGTTCAATAGAAGTTTATGGACCAACACATGTTGCACATTGTTGTAAAAGTGGTCTGTAAAGCATCAGCTGATTACACTGACGTAATCAGTGTAATCTGTTAGATCTGTTAGATCGTTTTTCAGTCTTTGTTTAACGTCTTTATCAATGCAGATCTCAGAGGCCTTCAAGAGATTTGGGCTCTCCGACAGAGACGACTCGGTCCTGGTGGTGATTGTTCATGACAAAGACGAGATGCAGGCCGTGGCGGACATCACGGCCATGGTGGACGGTCAGCAGCTTCCAGTGGACCAGGTTTCCTCACTGTCTGACTTGGAAAAGATCAGAAAGGTAATGATCTAATATATATGGATCTCAGCGTATTTTAACGAGAGACTCACCAAATGGATTTAGAGCATAAATCGGAACATGTCTGTCAAATGAATTACGTTTACAGCTATAAATCCTTTATATACACACTTAAAAGGTGCATAAGTTGTGTTTTTGCTCTTTTAATGATGCATTAATCACAAATTGGATGCACAGGCTTGGATTTATTGTGCGTAATGCTGGCCTCGAGATTGTACCTTTTTCAGAGCAGCTCTTGCTTATTATTTTAGCCGGAAAATGCTACAGTATGTCCTGATCGTATTTGCTCCTTTTTGTCTCCATTACAGCTGTACAAAGTCACGCCTCAGGAGGAGACATGCGGCAGTCTGCTAGATGCCGTCGTGTGTAGAATGGCCATAAAAGACGTCATGTAGCTCCTGAAGACACAAGAGCAGCACGTGATTGAAAATCTGTTCTTTTCATCCCAAAAATGTATTTAGGATTATTTTTATATTTTCAATACCGTTTATGACTGTGTACTCTCCTGGGTTCAGTAAATTATGTCACAGTTCACTAGTTTTTATTCAGTTCTTCAGCCTGTTTTCTGGAACCAGTTTGGGGGGAAATTTAAATAGAAAATCGTAAAAAAAAAATTATGCTGTTTCTGGTCTTTCTTTACTCCTTTTGAACAGTTTTGAGATTACAGTCGTGTTACATTTGGTTGAAACTTTATAACATCCCTTAAGAATGTTTTTTTTCCTTTCATGTTTATTTGACAAGATAAGTACATACAGCTCAACGTGACTCGCTTTAGATATACAAAATGAAAAATTTATCGATCTTTACTTACTTCCATCTGTCTATTTTTTTTCCACTGCTTCCATATTTAAAGGTTATAGCTGCCGGATCACGCACACCAATTGAGCCGGCTCTCTTACATTTCTGAAAGCCAAAACAAAGTTAAAAAAAAAATCAGAAATTGTAGATTTATTTTGAATCTTGCATTTATTGACTTTGCATTCGGCAACAGAATTACTCCACAAAAGCTAAAAACTACTGCCTGTGTATTTTGAACTTGCTTGAAGCCCGAATGTCTAGAAAAATCTCTTAATTTTTCCAGATTCAGTGGCTTTCAAATGGTCTTTGACTAGTGATTTGTGCTGGTACTCAGTAAAAAGTAATTTCATTAACAATGTAATAACTTTAACCAAGTTAATTTTGTCATCGACTACATCTGCTATAAATTTATGGTGCTGGTTTTCAGTGTTAGTTCCAAGATTTGTGTTAAAAGACAAAAAAAAAAGTCCAAAACATTTCCCTTTTGAATTGGGGAAAAAATGTGAAGGAACGCTTTCAGATTTATCCAAAATCACATCGGAGCGTTTCAGTCTGGAAAGTTGGCCAGCTCGTCTTTCCCGACGTTCCCTCCGCTGAGGATGCACACGACGGTCTTCCCCTCCAGGTCGGGTATCTTGTCGTTGACGAGCGCGGCGAAGGCGGCGGAACCCGACGGCTCGACCACCAGCCCGGCTCGGTAGAGGGCGGAGACGGCCGCCTTGATCTCATCGTCGCTCACCAGGACGATCTGATCCACGTAGAGTCGACACAGCTCAAAGGGCAGCCGGCCTGCGGAGCAGAGCAGCGCCGCGGTTACGGCATCACATCGGACGCGTCGTCTGGCGACTGGCTCAAGGTTTCTACCTAGTCTAGAGTCGGATCTTAGTGTTTTCCTGGTCTGGTTAGAGACATGGAAGGAGAAAATAGGAAGATGGAAAAATGTTTGCATTTCCAGCTTTAATCTTTATCCAGTCGTCTAAAATAAATGATGTCTGTCTTTCTGCCCTTCCTGATTTGTTTTACCTTTTGCCCTTTTCTACTTTATTTTGTCCGTCCATCTGTCCACCATTGCATCACTTTTTCTTCATTCTTCGGTCTTGCTTTTTTCACTACTTTCCTCCTTTCCCTTTTTGTGTCTTTTCTTCTTTTTGTTCCTTCCACCCTTGTCTCCTTCGTCCTTGTTCCTTCCTTCCTTTGCTATATCAGTTTCTTTATTCCTTTTCTTATGTTTGTCTGTTCTTTCCTTATGTTATTTGCATTTTTCTCTTTTCTTCATTTCATAATTTCTTTCTCCCTTCTACATTCCATTTCTCCTCTTCCATTTATTATTTCCTTCCTTCCTTTTCTGTTTTTTTTTCTGTTCATTTTCTGTTTTTTTTTCTCTCAACTTCCTTTTATCTCTTTTCTTTCTTCCTTCTGTCTGTTTTACTTCCTCGTGTGCCAGTTCCTTCTTTGTTTTTTATTTTCACGCTTTTGTCCCTCCTTCTCTCCTGTAGTTCTATTTGGGTACTTTGCTTCCAGTCTTTTTTCCCTTTTTATTTATCCACCCACCCGATAATGAGAATAAACAATTGGTAAAATCTGGAAAAGTCTAGAGTTTTACATGAGAAATATGTTTGAACCCTACTGGTTGGACCAAATTTTATTTAGGAGCACTGAACTAAAGTGGGACTGGATATACACGCGCGCTCCGCCTATAAGAGGCTGCATGGAATAAAAACCATGGATTTTATTTCAAGGTATCTAGTTCAGTGGGGTTCAGAATGCACTACTTTAGGTTGACTAGAAAATAAAATCTTTTTAAAATGCCAGAAGTTTTTGGGTGTAAAATGGCTAAACTTGATAAGTCCATGTGATGTGAATACCTTTGGAAAGGGTAACGTTTTCACAATCGTAGCTAGATGCTAGCATAGAGGAGGACCAACCTGCAGAAGGAGGTGCAAGGCCAGAGGCAATGCTGTGTGTATCCATCCACACCGGCTTCTTCTCAATAAAGCTCTGGTACATCGTACAAGCTGGTGGCAAACACACGCACGCACACACACTTGGTATAATCAAGATCTACGCTGATGATCTGTTTCCACATTTGGGCGGCCATTTTTAAACTTCACTTCACCTCCTTCTGGTTCCACACCATAGATCCTGGTTGTGTCGCACCCCGAGAGCTTGATGGCAGCAGCAACCCCGGCTAGCAGGCCGCCCCCACCGCAGCAGACCACCACCACGTCCGGGTCCGGCACCGCCTCCAGCACCTCCAGGCCCAGGCTGCGCACGCACAGATTCTCATTTTAGGAATGAAAACCAGATGTCCGTTTCCTTCCACCTTGCCTGTGTTTGCTACGCTGTGAAATTTTCTTGCTAAATTGAAATAAATGTAGAGGGTTAGGGGAAAAAAAAGTCAATGTTTTGTTTAAGTTAGGAGAACCTGGCGTGTCCGGCTATTAGATCCAGGTCGTCGTAGGAGTGCAGGAAGGTCATGTTGTCCTCCTGAACGCACCGGTTCACCGCACTCATCAGAGAGGAGGTGGGAACTCGTTCTACTTCCACCCCAAAAGTCTGAGGAGTAAAATCAGAAATGCATCCCTTTGCAATCTTTATAACGGTCAGGTATGATGCAACATTTCATTTATCTTTGTTTTTCAGTCTGACCTGGATAAGGGTGGCCCTGGATTCAGGGGCCGTTTCTGGCATAACCACCTTCCCCTTGGAGCCGTAGTGTTTCGAGGCGTAGGCAAAGGACTTCCCGTAGTTCCCCGCTGATATGGTCACAAAATGGCCACCGCTCGGTCTTCTGGAGAACTGATTGGCCACTCCTCTGATTTTAAAGGACCCTGTCAATCAGAAACGAGGAATATCAAGGTGGAGTTCAGACATGTGGGATCAAGAGAGTGCAGCTCCTCCACTGACCGGTTTTCTGCATGTTTTCCAGCTTGATGTGGACGTTGCAGCTGACGCTCAGTGGCAGCGTGGTCTGGCACCAGGGGATCATGGGGGTGTTGATGACACCCAGGGGGCTGCTCCTCACCGTCTCCCTGGCTTCTCTCAGCAGATCCAGGGTGACGGCGTCCGTAGTCACGTCACTCATCTGCAGAACCAACAAAAACATGTGTAACGTACTTTTAAAAATTCCACCTGGTATTATTTAACCTTAACCATTTACTTTTCCTTTAAAAGACGAAGTAGAAATAATTTGAATGAATTGAAAATATATGACTTCTGTGTCTTGAAAAAGTATTCAATGTATTAATTGTATTACTGCTCTCCCATAAAGGCTTTCAGCAAATCTTATGTTTTTATCATTGTACTGCATTTGAAATGATCTTACATTTTATGACAGATATGTTGAGTTTATATTATAAACTTATGGTTTGTTATTAGTTGCGAAAAAAATGTTGGAAATATAAAAAACTTCTTGTTCTGGATACTTTCAAACAATGAATCCAAGACAGAAATTGATTTACAGATCTCACTTTGAAAAGTAAGACACCTAACATAAGCAAATACTTTGCGCAGTAAGTTCAGCATACTTTACACTTACCTTATTGCTAATACTAGTTGCTATTTCGTTCTGCAAATGATATGTCTCGAGGTATGCAAGTTGGACGGTGTTTCTTTTTCTTTTTTTTTATCCCCCGGTCCCTGTTGTCCCAGTTCTGACCGGAACTAAGAAGTCGGACGTAATTTCGCGACGGACCTGAACATGTTGGAAGGCGTTAGCTCGCGTTTTTATAGTTACGCAAGTTTTAAATGAATAAAGTTGTAAATATAAAGTCTTATATTTGTTGGAAACGACATGGGGCTTGTAAGACACGTCGTGTGCGCCATGTCGGGTGGAGTTGACAGCTCTGTGGCAGCTCTCATATTAAAGAGAAGAGGTGAGACATTCTTGGGAAACTAAACAGTGTAAAACACCACCTCAGTTACCCCAAAGTAGCCGTGTGTTTTGCTTCCTTGCTGCAAACTCAGCAGACATTCGTCTGTCGTTGATAAATGTGCTTCTTAAAGTGCTGACAGTTGTTGTGGGTCTCTGCCACTCGAAGGCTACAATGTGACAGGGGTGTTCATGAAGAACTGGGACTCTCTGGATGAGAGTGGAGTCTGCAGCACAGAGAGGGATTGTGACGACGCCTACAGAGTGTGCCAGACTCTGGACATCCCCTTCCACCAGGTGTCGTATGTCAAAGAATACTGGCACGACGTATTTAGGTACCCCACTTGTCATTAAATGAAACCATTTGCAGCTAATGCGACCTATGTTCCTGAGTTACAGTTGTCCCCAATGTATTTGCAGCAACCTGCTGAAGGAATATGAAAAGGGCAGGACACCAAACCCCGATATACTCTGCAACAAACACATCAAATTCAACCATTTCCACAAGTACGCCATCCACACTTTAGGTATGTATGCTTTTAGAATAACATATTCGGAATCTTTATGGCTTCTAACATGTGTCTCCTGTCAAATAAGTGAGCAGCATATCAAAAACCAGCATAAAAACCTGCTAATTACTAGAATACAGGCATTCAGTTGCAAAATGCCTATATTCTATTAAAAATTGTCTTTTTTTTTTTTGAATAATCAACTAGGGAGATGATAACTTCACGTTCTTCACTATCACGTGCTCTTACTTACATAATCACAAATAAAATTAAGATGTTGATAAGACTCATTATTTGAAAGTCCAGTTTATTGTTTGTTTTATGTTCTGTTTAATTTATATTTTCACTGTGGTTGCGGTGTAAATGCTTAATAATAACTAAAAGGATAAGTGTTGTCTTGTTTGTATTAAGCCAATGCAGTTTTTGGCAATGTTAGATCATTTTTATTCTATATATGGCGTCCTAATATCCTGCTGAAATCTCCAGTGAGGATCCATTTTCTCTTTACTGATAGATGATCCAATAGGTTTTCACGAAGACCTTGTTCTGATTGGCTGAAAACCTGGATATTTTGCTTTTGCGCGCAAACTGGTGCACTTTGCTTTTGTTTCAGGTGCCGACGCCATGGCAACCGGTCATTACGCTAGGACGTCCCAGGAAGATGAGGAAGTTTTCCAGCAGTTGCACACGACCCGACCCACCACACTGTTCAGGGATCGATTCGAGATCAGAAACCGTAAGCGTTCGGCTCCGTTTTCAGTCCAACCCATCTCTCTTTCCAGCACATTTGTTCTTATCCAACCCGCTGTAACTCTACTGTAATTTTTTGTTTTGTTTTGTTTTTCCTCTCCTGTATTTCTTCCCTTCAGCCGTGAAGCTGTGCAAAGGAGCCGACCTGGCCAAAGACCAGACCTTCTTCCTCAGCCAGATTTCGCAGGACGCCTTACGGCAGACCCTCTTCCCACTCGCCGGACTCACCAAGGAGTTTGTGAAAAAGATGGCTGCTGAAGCAGGGTTTCACCACGTGTTAAGAAAGAAAGAGGTATAAAAAAACAAAATGACGTGTCCAATAAGTCATTGAGCCCTACTTGTTACACTCAGTCTGAACCTTAAGACCTCTGTTCTTACAGAGCATGGGCATTTGCTTCGTTGGAGAGAGAAATTTTGAAAACTTCATTTTAGAGGTGAGACGGAGGTCTTTTTTTTTCCCTTCTTTCGTTTTGTTCTCTGTCTCTGATTTCTAACATCTCTTTGGTGAAAAAGTGATAATCTGCCACAGTTTTGTTCTACCTGTCAGTATCTGGAGCCTAAACCTGGGAACTTTGTGTCTATTGAGGACGGGGCTGTGAAAGGAACGCATAAAGGTCTGATTATCATAGCTATTATTGCAAAGCCTTTGGTTTAAAAATGTCTTAGTGTTATTATCTCCTGCTTGTGGTTCTTCTACAGGTTGGTTTACGCTGACCCTGGGCCAGAGGGCGAAGATAGGTGGCCAGAAGGATGCCTGGTTTGTGGTCGATAAAGACATTGTCACCGGTGATGTGTTTGTGGTGAGAACATCATTTTTTTTTTTTTTTTTCACCTCAGTTTTAAAGAATTGTACTCAGATTTTATGTGATGGCCCTACAGCTGGATGATATGGCTGAAAAATGTATCACAGAATTAGCAGTTCTTGCTAACGACTATTGATGACATCCAGGACGTGTTACCGTGGAATATTGTCTCTGCTCCCCGGATATCGAGCAGTTAGTATGTCATGAGACAGTCACACAGCAGCAGTCTTCAGTCAGAGGTGACTCGATAGTCGTTGCAAGACTGACTGTTAACATAAATATAATACCAGTAAATGTTGGTTATCAGTCACAACAGCAATATTAATGTTGACCAAAATGTTCATATTGGTGCATCGCCACAAAAACGCATATTAAGCCCCTTCTGCTTCAGGCTCCAACCACCAATCACCCGGCTCTCTTCCGTGACACGGTACGGACCGACCGCTTCCACTGGATCGCCTCGGACCCGCCCGCGGAGCTGGTCAGGACCCAGATGATGGAGTGCCACTTCCGCTTCATCCACCAGATGGCGCTCAGTGAGTCTGGCCGCCTCTGAGCAACTGAAGGTGTCGGCAAAGCGATGCAGATTCACTCTGACCCTTCTTCCCCTGCAGTTCCCTGCACCGTGACTCTGAACATGGACGGTTCGGTGTGGATTTCTCTCTCTCAGCTGGCCAGAGCGCTGACACCCGGACAGGTATCGAGTCCAAGACGTTCCCCCCACCAGTGTTGATTTCATGAGGATAGGTCTTTAACTCCAGGCGCTGCCTCTGTCCCTCCCTCAGTTTGCAGTTCTCTACAAAGGCGACGAATGCCTGGGCAGCGGCAAGATCACCCAGCTGGGGCCCAGCGAATTCACGCTGCAGAAGGGACGCGAAAGGCTAGTGGCGAGCCGGCAGCAGAACGACGAGCCGATCCCCGATCCAGTCGGCTGAGATCAGAGATCAGCGCTCCGAGTGCGACCATCTTGGATCTGCATGTCTGGTACATTAGGCAGCACGAGGAGATGATTATAGTGATTTCACTCAACCTTTCGGTCCCGACGGTGTTTGTTATACAAGGATAAAACAGTAGGAGGAAAGGGTTAAGTTTTGCTGCTGGGTGCTTTGATAAATCTTCTGTATCCTAACATCAAAATGAAGACTTTATTGTAATAAGATAGTTTACTGAGGAAAAATAATAGATTTCTAGACCATACGCTACTACTGACTTCTAAAAGCACACAGACGGTCCAGTTTATATTTATTCTGAAACTGTATAATCTTGTGTAAATGTATTAAAAATGTGTAAAGTTATTTTTATAAAAGAATCAAGAAGGAGCCGTGACTCAAAACAGTGAGGTTTTGCAAAATATTCGCCGATGGGAAAAGTCCAGCATTTTCACATGGGAGACCAGCCGTGTCGAAGGATACACCATGCCTGCAGCAAAGCACGGCGGTGGCTTAGTGATGCTGGTGGGCTGCAACGCCTCCTCCAGATCTGGAGGGCGAGACGGGTCCCATCCTTTGACGGAACGTCACGTCGTCCGAGTCTGGGAAGATGAGATCAAAGTTAGAGATGGTAGGTTGCAGCCATTTTGTTTGGTGGGAGCACTGCGCCACTAATAAAGCACAGTGATGGTGGAGTGGCGATATGAGATTTTTTTTTTTTTTTTTAAGTCACAGGACCTCGGTGCCTTTCGGTCACTGAGTTGATTATGAACTCCTCTATATGCTGTTGTATAATGTGAAGTTATGTGACTTGAAATGGGTCGTAAAGCAGAGCAACTATCTGAAACAAATCCAGAACCAATAGTCATAAACCTTATAAAAAAAAACTTAAACTAAAATGTAATGAAAAAGGGAGGATCGGACAGAAAATTATTGCTTCAACGTATTATCTGTGGATGTGTTTTAAAACAATTAAAACTTGGGGTGTACTTAGTTTTTCCACCTGTAGGTTCTCCTTTTTTGTCCTCATCTCTTTGGTACCAAGTGAAACGGTGGAATCTGTTTCATGCCAGTTGTAGATTTTAAAGTGAGAAACAGATCAGGATGTTTGCATTAAATGTTCTGATACATTTAAACTGTAATCTTCTGTCTTTTTTTGGCTCTAATATAAGTTTTTGGCGTTTTAGAAAAACTTCCAGTCAATTGGCATGAGACTGTTTTGAGTTGTGATCTGCTCACTTTCATTGTAGCGTTTCTTTCTGGAATGTCACAGATGTAACAAACGGAACTCATAAAAATGATTCAATAAAACTGAAGGTTTAAGGAATAACGCGGTTCCTGTTCCGAAGACGCAAGTTATCCTGCTTGGAAACCAACTGTCTCCCCGCCCCCCTCCCTTCTACTTTTTGTATGCATTAAACTATCAAACCACAAGGGGGGGCTATGACACAATATTCCCAACTGAAACTTGCCAAAACAAGAACGCATTCTATTTTAATGCAATTTTAGAGATTTTGTTCTATTATTAATCCGTCAGTGAAAAAACAAACACAACGACGCTTTACAAAACTGCAGAAATCGAATAAAACAAACAATAATTAAGTTATAAGTTTCCATTGTTTTAAAAAATCTTTGACTCAAATATGTGATCCAGGTTTTACATCAGAGCAGAACCAGGAGGGAATTGTGTAAAAATATAAACATTAATGATTAATCCAGCGGTGCCAGGTCCTTTTCTCTTTTAATATAATATACATTTTTATCACTGGATAAAAATGTATATTATGCATATAAGACCGTCTCGACAGGGGCGTCGTTGACCTCTTTCACCCCTTGGTGGCGCCACTGATCCTCTGTTCTTGTCACGGGAAGTTGTCAGTTTTATTTTAGGATTTATTTGTAACACCAGTGTGGATAAAATGTGTCCCCAACGCAGCAACAGACAATAAATTAAAAATAAAAATGCTAGATTGTGAGTTTTAACATGACTTGCATATCTTTGTCATCTCTTTTGTGTTTGAAATTATTAAACTTATATTTTTCTAAAATGATAATCAGTTGTTTGGAAATGAAATGTTCGTGTTTTGATACATTTCTAAGTGTGATTACAACAATATTGTAAATTTTAAGACCAAGCAGAACTTTTAAAAAATTAAATTTTCATTTTAAACTTCTAGTGTCAGATCAAATTAAACAGAATGCCCGTTATAGACAAACTTAGCATAATCACAACAATGTATTCCAGTGATATAGCAACCACTGTAGGTTTATATTGTATAAAACTTAATAAGAATTCGGAAGTGTCAAACATCATTTAGAAGCAAGCACAGCAAATTAAAACTTGACTATTATTACTGCTATCATATTTCTCAGTTCTTATAAACACCTAAACGCTTAAAGTATAATAAATTAGATTAAACTATAAATTTAAAAACCGTTACAGGTGATGTCGAAGCAGAATCATTCCTCGTGAACCTCATTAGCAGTATGATTACAAATATTGTATTTATCAATTTCCTAAAATCTTTAACAATGTAAAACATTTTTCACATTTGAAATGTAGAAACTGATGTGATTTGACCAGACTTTGTCTGATCTGCTCCAATCTTGCTCCTGTTGTAATGTAATTTATCCAATTATACAGGAAGCAGACATTTGTGTTTCTTCAGTTTGGTTTGCAAATTTTGGATTGTAAACTCCAGCAGTATCCACACTGCAGTCTATATTTATCGTCAGTGAACATTTGTTAGTGAAGACTATATACACCACCCGCAAGTCTCTTTAAACCTAAACTGACTCTCGATAAACTTCTGAGAAATGTATTCAGTGAGAATTTAAGTGCTGCTTGGTTCGCTTATGTTTCGGGCCGGCTCTGTGGCTCAGAAGATAGATACAATCCCGAACCGCACTTTGAAAACTTCTTAATTATGATACTTTTTCACTTTTATATCTGCATAAAACTTCTGCAAAAGTCGCGAACGGAAGACGCGGCGCACAGGATTTTTTTTCTTTTTTAAACAATGCTCTTGTGCTCATTGGTCATCCTGTCAGTGGCAAATCTCCATTAGAAAAAGTAAAGACCCCCCTCGGGAACGCGTCCCAGAGGGGGAACGCAGCAGGTTTATGGAAGTAAGTTGAGGAGGAAGAGGAGGGGAGGTAGAGGAGGAGGAGATCCACGGAGCCATTTTGTACTCATTTTAAACTCAGTGTGGTTTCACGCAGCCGCCGCGCGCTCTGGATACGCTGACACCATGGATACCGAGCGCCTTTTCCTGCGTTAAAACTCCACAATGAGGGATAAAAGTAAAATGCGGTGTTGGGAGAGGGAGAGTTAATCCATTACTGGAGCGCTTTCTGTGAACCTGACTGGGATCTGGCAGGTATCCGGGCATGGAGCCGGCGATGTGTTGGATTTGGATCTGTGTCCTGCTCGCGGTGCCGCTTGCGGGATGTTTGGAGATGCACCTTTCGGAGACTTTACAGCCCGGGAGCGTTTTGGCAAACCTGTCTCTGGGACCTGGTTGGACGTACAACATTGACAGGACTTTATCGCCCAACTTCATCCAGACGCTTTTCCAAGTTGGGAAGCGCAGCGGGGTGATCCGCCTGTCCCGCAGGATTCAGTGCGCGCACACGCCAAGGAACCCAGCGCCTGTTTATTTCAGAGCAGGTTCCTCGACGTCTGGGGACGCGACTCTGACGCATTTTAACGTGTTTGTCCACGGACAGAACTGTTTTATTAAGTATAAGAGAAAGACCGAGCCGGACATTCACATTGAACACGTTTTGAAAGTGAAGTCAGCTTCCTGTTTACTGGCAGGTAAATTGTTATTGAATGTTAAGAAACTTTTGCCGGCATCCACGCAAAGTATAACCCTTTTAAATACTAAATGTGTTGGAAATGACTTTGTTGCGGCGTTCATGCATGGGGATTTGTTCCTGGTCAACGACTTGTGCCTTGAACACAAAGAAAAGGTGGATTTGCACTGCACCCTGCACGGCTCTCCAGGCAGCAGGCTGTCTGTGCAGCTGAGTTTGACTCTGTCACAACATGAAAGTACCCACAGAAAGTCTGGCAAACTGATCCACAGGGGGAAGCGTCAGGTAAACTCAGGTCCGCGGTTCCAGATCTCCACCTATCAGGTGTCTGTCCCCGAGAATGAGCCCCCATACACACATGTCATCACCCTGAAAGCAACTGATCCAGATGATGGGGAGGCAGGGAGGCTGGAGTACAGCATGAAGTCTCCTCAAGACAAGAGGTCTGATAATTACTTTAAAATGGATCCAAAGACAGGGAGCGTATCGACCATCCAGCTGCTTGATAGAGAACTAATGGACACACATGTTTTCTTAGTTTTTGCAACTGACAACGGCACCCCAAAAAGATCGACCAGCTCTATCCTGACCATCACAGTTAGTGACAAAAATGACCACAGGCCGGTGTTTGAGCAAAAAACTTACAAAATAAACATCAGGGAGAATGTGGAGGTTGGCTTTGAGGTGATGACCATACGTGCCACTGATGGCGATGCTCCTTCCAACGCCAATATGGTTTATAAAATCATCAACGAAGACCGTACCAACTCTGTGTTTGACATCGACTCCCGGAATGGCCTGGTGAGGATCAGGGAGCGGCCTGACAGGGAGACCTGTGCCCAGTACAAGCTGATCGTTGAGGCTGATGACCAGGGCAAGGACCCTCATCCTCTGACCGCCACTGCCACAGTTCACATCACTGTGGAGGATGAAAATGACAACTATCCCCAGTTTAGTGAGAAGCGGTACGAGGTACATGTCCCAGAGAACGTAGCTGTCAACACTAAAGTTATACAAGTGGAAGCGACTGACAAAGATGAGGGGAATAACGCCAAAGTTCAGTACAGCATCATCAGCGGCAACACTAAAGGCCAGTTCTACATAAACTCCGAAAAGGGTGAGATTATTGTCATCAACCCTCTGGACTATGAGGTGATTCAGGATTATAAACTAGGGATCAAAGCTTACGATGGTGGCAGACCTCCATTGATGAATAGTACTGGAATAGTAGTGGTGCATGTGGTGGACATCAACGACAATCCTCCTATGTTTTTCAGCACTCCTTTCCAGGCCACTGTGTTGGAAAATGTCCCCATCGGTCACTCTGTTATTCACATTCAAGCAACAGATCTTGATTCAGGAGAAAACGCTCGTCTGGAATACCGGCTCACTGACACAACACCTGGTTTCCCGTTCACCATCAACAACAGCACCGGCTTGATTGTAGTCGGCGAAGAACTGGACAGAGAGACTACTGACTTCTACACCTTTGGCGTTGTGGCAAGAGATCATGGGAGGCCTGCTATGTCTTCATCAGCCGTCGTCAGCATCGTGGTGCTGGACGTGAATGACAACATCCCCGCATTTACTGAAAAGACGTACTCTTTAAAGATCAACGAAGATGCCGTTGTGGGGACCAGTGTGCTGACCGTGACAGCTGTGGACAGGGATATTAACAGCGTGGTGACTTATCAGATCTTCAGTGGAAACACCAGAAACCGCTTTTCCATCACCAGCCAGAGTGGTGGGGGCTTCATCACCCTGGCCCTTCCCCTGGACTACAAGCAAGAGCGGCAGTACGTCCTGACGGTCATGGCGAGCGATGGGACACTCTCCGACACGGCTCAGATTTTCATCAATGTGTCGGATGCAAATACACACCGGCCTGTTTTTCAGAACAGTGGCAATCTGCAGGTGCTTCTTGGTGAGGACAAGCCTATAGGCTCTACTGTGACTACGATCACTGCAACAGATGATGACACGGGGGAGAACGCACGGATCACGTATATCATGGAAGATAATGTTCCACAATTTAAGATAGACCCCGATACTGGTGTAATCACAACACAGATGGAGATCGACTATGAACACCACGCGTCCTACACTTTAGCCATCATTGCCAGAGACAATGGTGTCCCTCAGAAATCTGATACCACTTATGTGGAGATTAGAATTGAGGATGCTAATGATAATGCTCCCATCTTTAACAAAGATATATACAAGGGGAGTGTACTTGAAGATGCACCTATCCAAACAAGTGTTCTCCAGATTTTTGCGTCAGACAAAGATTCTGACTCCAATGGAAGGGTGAGTTACACCTTTCAGGGTGGAGATGATGGAGAGGGCGATTTCACCATTGAAACATATTCTGGAATAATCCGAACAGCTCGTAAACTGGACCGCGAGAACGTTGCTTTCTACAACCTGAAGGCGTTAGCTGTGGATAGAGGGTTTCCTCCTCAGAAGGCAGTTGTTTCTGTTAATATTTCAGTCCTAGACAT